GAGGCGTTCGGACACTAAACATGTGTACAAAAGTCGCCGCGGAAACCGCGGTTCGACTTCACGCAGGGACGAGTCTGATTTTTTTTTTTAATAGTTATTGTTTTTTTTTTTCCGTATAAAAAATCTTTTGTTTTGGTTTTCCATTCACTAAATTGTTAAAACTGTTGTTAACAAGATTTAATTAAAGTAATTGTAATTGGTATACCAATAATACGACCGTTAACACTTTAGGCATCTTAAGCCATTGCATTGCAAGAAGCACGCGTGGCCGAGTGGTTAAGATGTCTGTCTATGGTGTGAGCGGTCGCGAGTTCGAGTTCAGGTCGAGGTAAGAATTTTTCCTTAAGTCTTTTATATGTTTACAAAAAGTTTTTTCTGTACTTAAAATGCATTGTAATTAATAAACATTTATAATAAATTTGAATTTAAATTAAATAAATAAATAAATAAATAAAAATGTTTATGATTGTCACTAAAACATGAAAGGTTTCCTCTTAGTTAACTAACCTAAATGCAAAAGTGATAAAAAAATCAGTCGGACAAAATTAAAAAAAAGGTTATAAACAAATATACTTTTATTTTTCTATTTTTAAGAACATTTTTCTTAATTTTAGGGTTTTTTGCCGTAAAATTCAGAAAAATTGGTAATGATTTTTAGAAAGGCGAAACCGTAAATTCAAGAAAATTATTTCCCATTATTAATGGCGAATCGCCGTTGGCTGAAAATCATAGGCGATTTTCTTGAATCAATGGCGAATTTGTTGAATCAATGGCGATTTTTTTTATGAGTGTATGAATTCTGTTTGTAAATAAATTTAAAAGATGATTAAACTTGCGAAAAGAGCCTGCAAGGAGCCATTTGAATATTTATTATTTATATACCTATAAAAGATGATTAACTTGCGAAATGGGTCTGCCAAAAGCCATTTGAATATTTCTAGTTTCCAATTTTAGGCAATTTTCACAACAAGATTTAATGACTGGCGCCTCATCAAAATGCCCGCAATGATTTTAATTAGTTTGCAGCCGGCAGGTGTTATTTTCGCGCTCTCGCTGAACATTTGCCAAATGCCCACACATATGCACTTGTTTGGCATATTGTGTGTGGATAAAGCCTCTGCCCCCCGGGGGCACTTGGCAAATGTGCAACAGCCACAACAACCATAACGACAACAACTGGAACATGTCTATTGGCGGGACGCAATGTTCCATTTTCCATTTCCCCCCAGCCACAACCCAATATTTCCCAATTCAATTTGCCACACTTAGGCCTGAAAGATTAATTCTCATTAAAATTGCATTGTGCAGTTTTGCCTTAGTTTATGTAAAACCCCGATGAGCGGAAGTGCAAGTTCATGTGATATGATACCACAGAGACCCGAAACCGAAACCGAAACCAACTAAATGAAAAAGTCGCAAATGAATTTGATACCAAAAACCGAATTCAAATAAAACACGCGCTTTATCCTTTCCAAAATTTTGAATGGGTTCACGCTTCTCTAATCAGGATCCGCATTGTTTATTGTTTATTGTTTAGTGCCTCCCAATTCTCCTCCCCTTTGGTTCGCCGAATAATTAAAACTGCTGTAAATTACACATTTATTGAATTTGTTTTGATGTTGATATTTTTGCAAGGCTTCTAAATGCGGTTGGGATCGGCTCTGTTGTTTCAGGGTAAACATTCTCCCGGGATTTGCATGCGAATGTGTGTTTACCTTTGTCCCAAATGTATATTCACTGCCAAATCGATAATTGCATTAAATGCTCTGTCGTATTGGTCCAATCAAAACGTGTTTGGCGTTTCCAAATTATACGGCTAACGTCATTTAACAAAGTCATTTACTAAACTGCTAAGCGCCAAACGCAATAATGACTGATTTGAGAGATAAATAAAATGTCTAGAGATTTCCCTTGTTTTCAATTTGAATAACTTTTAATAATTTATGTAAGTTTATCATATTAGGGCTGAAGCAACCCAAAGTAATTAGCATCCATTTATTTGTTTTTGAAACTAATTGTTTCTCATTGGTCATTTGTTGAATAAATTATGTTAATTTATTTATAATGCTCTTATGCCTGTATTACTGTTAAATTATTCATTTTAAGGACATCGTAAACTATTTAAATAATGTTTTCGTTTAAAAGCTTGATATAAAAACGTTTAAAATGCTTACATTGGTAATATTTTAGAATGAATAAATTACTCTATACTGATTTGGCAAATCAATATTCTTTTAAACGCTTTAGTGACTATTTATTTTGATCGACTGCCTGCCAAATTTGTCTCCATTTCACTAAAGAAATTTATTGTACATATGCAGCCAATTTACTTTGGTTCGTTTCGCTTTGCTTTTTCCTGGTTTCTGCTGAAATCTACACATGTGAAAAAATATATGAATACGGTTGTACAGATTTCTCTATAGCTTGTGCATGCACCGCCCTCACATTTTTATTTGGCTGGTTATGTGAGAATTTGGATTCTCGTGCATTTGACACGTTCTGTTTATGGCGCTGGAAAAGGTGTTGCGAGCGTATGCAAAAAACTTTCGGCTATCGAATTCCGGGAGGAAAATACAGAACCCTTTAGAGCTGTCATCAAACATGCAAACTGCATTCGATCGAATTGCCAAGTGACTGGGAAAGCAGCGATGCTCCCCCAAGCTAAAGTGTTTGCCTTTCGAACTCAATCCAGGTTGCGGAAGAGGAGAAAATCAATCAAATGCCTTTAACCGAAACACAGAACTGAGAACTTCGTCTAACCGAGATTAACTTTGGCGCGTTCCCCAGTTGCAAAGTATCAACAGAAAAAGTTTACAAATATCCTAGCAGATACTCGCACTCGAGGGGGCAACAAAATGCGGGCAATTTGCCTACAAATACCCATGGATATGGGATTTCACGATAGCAGCCTTCGATCTGGGGCCCCCCGGAGATTCCGATCAACAAACTGGAAAATGTTCTCTCCGCCGTTCGAGGAGTATATTTCTTCCAAGTTTATTGTTCGCCGGGGTGAAATGTGTGGAAACTCGAACTGGCTCGAACTCAACACACATCCATCCATAAACGCTTCCACTTTAAGCCATGCAGAAAAGTTTTCGCTCTCACAAAAAAGTGGAAAGTGAAAAGTGGCAGTGGCTGTGGAGGAAAAAGTAAAATTGCTGACAGGAAACTTCCAATCAGAAATGAATTACTTTGAAGTGAGCTGACAAAGGGGCGATGAAGGGGAGGGTAGGTGAGGGGGGTGCTGGTAGTTACCGCAGTGTCAAGTTTAAGAAGCCATGAAATAACATTAATTTGTTGCAAATTCGCTTGCCAAGTTTTTTAAGTTGAATTAATTTGATTAGCTTATCGCCCGTTCAAAGTTGAAACTCCATCAGCATTTCAAACAGGATTGCGATTTTTGTTAGAGATGCGTTAGTGAAGAAGAATACTTTTTGGGGTACGAATAATATAATTGTTTATAAAAAATTAAATTAGGAAAGGAGGTATAGATAAAAGGGTAAAGAATTATGTGCCAGTTTTTGTGATTATATTTAATTGACACTTCCTATCAAGTTTAATTATTATTTCACTTCAATATGATTGGGCTTTAATTGGTTTAATAACATTTAAGAATATATTTTTTATTTATTTTTATTTTTTAAGTTTGAAATTTTTTCTGGTTTCAACTTAATCACTTCCATTTAAAATCGTCTCCCCTCTTATTCTTGTTCTGGATAGTACTCATTGAAGATGACTGGCGTTACTGGCTTTTGCGGCTGCCAGTTCACTTTTCACATTTGGGCCAAGAACAGGAGTCGACGACAATTCAAATTTTATTAGATTACTTGAAATTTATGTGGCAATCAACTTACGAAACAGAAGAACGGAAAATTCCTAGGCCGAGTCATGGAGCCATGGTTGGAAAATGCAAATGACTGCGAGCTTCGCTGTGTGTGTCATGATTTTAATAAGAATGAACTTCTTTCCCCCAGTGCCTTTGTGTCCCTCGCTTTTTTCTTCATTGTTGAACTAAATAAGTCACATAAAAAGAGTGAATTTGCGTTGAATGAGAGATGGGTGCGTTGAAAGGAATTGGGCATCGGGCTGCCTTTCTCCCCGTCCTATCTACATATATCCCAAATATGTTGCATGAAGAAAAGGCAAATTATTTTTTTTAATATTTTTACGGCAAAATGCTTGAAATTGATAAGACTGCCTTTTGTGTGCATATATGTTCAGGTGCCACAGTATGAGGCGAAGTCCCTGTGGGTTGGCATTGTTGGCAACCACAAACCTGCTAACCCCCATTTCCACCTCCTCCTAAAAACGCAATTTTATCGTGGCGAAACGTAAAGTACACTTTCCAGGCGTGAGCAAAATACATTAGCGATACTTTCAATAAAATTTCGTTTTAACTGGAATTCATATCAAAGGCTATATTTCTTTTTTGAAACTTGAGAAGCTTGGCTTCCAACTACAATGTATAGATAGTTAGCAGGACTTCTAAAGCCTTAAGTTCGTTTAGAGAAAAAACGTTATGTAAGAATAAATTAAATTTTTTATAATTACTTGTAATTTTAGGGGGATGTAAGCTAAGCGAATATAATATTTAAAATCAATATACAAATAAATATTTTTGGAACATTTCAGCTGTCAGCGCCTAATGTTTCTAAAAATAACATTTTTAAAATATCCTTAATCGTTGACAAAAGCCTCCTTTGGTTTTTATGCCCTTTACAAGGGAACGGTGCCAACAGAAGGAGGCCACAGAAAATTGTTGAAAATACAAATTTAAATTGTCTGTTTGTCTGGTTTCGTTAAATATATTTGCCAAAGTCACACATTCGCATTCGCAGGCAGCCCGGCAGGAGTAGCCCACCTTCTCGGGTGCAGACACTTGTATATCGACGCCCCTCAAAACATCACCTCCCCCATTTGTACATCTGATATTTAATGATTATTTGTTTGTCTGTTTGCTGATTCTGACTTCTTCTTTGTTTGCTTTCTCTCGCCGGCAGATTGGATGAATCTCTAACGTCATGGTATGAAGGAGCCGACGAACACTTTGGATGAAATTGTAAGTGCTTCGGCTAATCAGTGTCTAGAGTTCAGCACAACAGCTCCCTGTGTCACATAACCCACGTATAACCGAGGCGGAACCGCATCACGAACATAAAAATCCACCGGGGTCGAGAAAAACTCGTGAAAATATATGCGAAAAAGTCAAGACAATGCAACTGACACATAATGAAAGTGAAGTGCGGGGAACTTAAAGCCAACAAGTTTTATGGTCGGGGGAAGTCTAGCCACATACACAGAAAAAATAACTGAAATTTTCAAAACCGTTGGGATAACTATAATTTTCACTGCTAAAAATTTAGTTATAATTTTAAAAAATAATAATATATGGTACTTTATAAAACCCAATTGATCTACATTTAAGGTCATTAAGCAAAAAAATTATTAAAAAGATATTTAATAAACAAATACTTACTATTTTTACTCATAATTTCATATTTTCTCTTTGTGTAACGACAACTGCACGCAGTTGGCGGTTGGAAAACGGAGAAAAGTTGAAAATGCAAAGCAATCTAAATAAAATGTCAGTCCCGCTAGTGCCGGCAGGTGGCGCCACCAGCGGGGGAGTGGGACAGAAAGACAAACGGAAAGGGACAACATGTGAGCCACCACAACATCGGGGTAACAACAACAAACAATAGATATAGTTGGGTCCCGACTTCAAAGTATTACCCAATGTAGAGTTTTGTTTCGGTGAGGGGGGAAAAAGTGGGGAAAGGGGGTGGGCAACATCGCCGTGTCAAGCGGTAATTGTTATGTAAATGAGTTTTACAATTTTTGCCAGCCGAAAAAGGTCACCAGATGAAGGGAGACTCTGTGGCTTAGGCCTGGTCGACAAATTTCAGCCAAGTCAGTCAGCAGTTTTCTGCCTTTCTGCCCGATGAGAGGACAAACAAAAGTTTTGTTTAGCTTTTGTTTCGGTGCTTTCGCTTTTCAGTGCATACCTCTGTATATACATCGGTAGAACTGAAATACCCAGCCCATGTATTCGGTGGCCTTTGTGTGAAAGCCAAGCTTTTTATGAAATTGCAAATCAGTTTGTAAGTCAACGACAACTTGTTGTCGTGGTTCTCCAGCTAAAAGTGCTCGGTTTGTCACTGGCCCCAAACACTTTCAACCATTTCCTTCGGTGCAAACATACTAACTACATGACTATGGCTGTATTTTCGTTGGAAAGTTAATAACCGTTTAGCCAAGTTTGGGCAACTGGAAGTTCGAATTTTTCCTTTTTCTTTCCCAAGTGCATACACAAATAAAAAATATTCAAAATATTTAAACAAAGACTATGATTCATGGTCTTTGAAGTGGAATTAAAAACATCATTAAAACTTAATTTTGTTAATGTTTTTAGTATATATTTTTTTAATATCATTTTAATTTTGGTCTTTTTCGTTAACTTTTGTATAGTTTTCTAATCATTATATTTTACTCTTCAATTTCTTGCGAACGAGTATTTACCTACTGGGGTTGCCTACTTGGCCATCAAGTCGTTTCTACTCTAAGGAACTCCAACTTCATGATGGGTTTCCCTGCTCAATTAGCAATATATTAAATTATTTATTTGAAAAGTCGCCCACTTGAAGGTCATAACTAATATTGGAATTTCCCTAGGCGGCGCCACCCACCAACTGTCCTCTATTTCAGCAATATTTGTGTTGGCCCATTTCCTTAAGTGCAACGTCAGCTTGGCATTTCGCAACTTTGTTGCCGTTTCCTGGAGGGAAATATAAATGCCAGGCCATGGCAAAAGACAAACAACTCACACATACGGGGGAGAGTCACGCACACACAGACACTCCACACACACACACACACACACACCCAAAGGCTCACGCACACATGTGGCGAGCATGCAGATGTGACAGAGTGGGACTTGAATTTTTAATGCAAGGCAACAACCATTCTCAGCGGCATATTTACATTCCGGCTCAATGTCAATTGTGTTTATAAATTAATTTGCAAAAAGACAAATGTACACATGGCATTGGGTGATGGCCTGATGGGGCGATAGGGTGAGCCGTTGCCAAAACAAGCACGCCTTTTGTTTAGAGGCCATTACGGCCAGGGATCCCAGGGCCTCTGTTCGACTGCTGCCAGTGTCAGCTCATGTGGAGCCTCTCCTCCAACTCTGGCTCCTGATTCTCCACAGGTTACTGGCTTCTGCTGCTGACCCCCGCCCCCCTAGACGCATTGTTCTCTGCAGGGTACCTTGTTAAGGGACCCTTTGCCATACCTCCATACCTTCGGTGCCCATTTCCGTGCCCGTGCCCAAAACCCCCATGCTGTACCTCAGCTGGCGTGACAGGTTGTTGTCGTCGTTAGATGTTAGACGCATGCTTTTGTTTCTTTTCGGTGTCCTCTTACCCGGCAAATGCGACAGCAAACTGGAAAAAATATTTTTGAAATCGCCTGGGGAGGGATAACTTTTTAGGAAGCTAAAGTTACTGGTCATAGTGGCTATAATAGTGATTTCTTTTATAATTATTTTACGGCTCACTCTGTCATGTACTATGCAAATATATCAAAATCACTCATACGACACGTGTAACAGGTATTTATTTTACAAATTAAAACCTACTATAATTTAAAGTGTAAACATATTGCTTTAAATTTTTAATGAAGAACTGCTCTAGGTATATTTTAAGCTGGTGAACGTACTTAAACTGCCCTCAAGTTTTAAGTGACACGTTTAATCAGCTGTTTAAACAAAATATTAGTCTTAAAATCATACAAATTGATGAGTCATAATCAAGAGAATTGTGTTTTCTGTAAACATATAAATTAATTAAGACACCTTGAGGCTGAATTTGTTCTCTGTGTAGAAGCAGGGGGAAAAGCGTGGGGAGGGGATGAGCAGCTGCCAGTTGTCGTAAATATTTGCTCACAAAAGTCGGCAATGATTTGATGCACACGCACACAGGCAGCTGGCTAAGCTGAAACTAGCTAAGCAGCCCACACAAAAAAAGACAGCTTAACCCGCCGGGGGGTGGAGTGGGTGGCGGCTAATTTGCGCAACGGAATGACAGCCTAGGCCAGATACAGTGGGATTTCTAAATGCCTCGAGCATATGGCAGATAGATGGGCAAAAAGTCAAGGCGAAAATGACAGAAATCACGGATTAATAAATTGTTTGTTTTTCCCACAAAAAGCAATCGTACGTGTTTGATATGTATTTCTAACCTACAATCCTTTTATTCAATAACTCTGCAATGAAAGATTGTATCTTTCAAATTAAGCTAATAATATACAATGGATAAGCATAGAAGATATTTTGAAATGCTTTGTTTGCTTATGCTTTCATGTATATTCTCTGAAAAATTCCACAAATTATTGAACGCCTGAAATACTTGAAATCCTAATGTATTCGCCTAGCGTTTTGGCATTATTAAGCCATTCTATCAGCACAATAATCAGCAAGAGACATGCGTTCGCCTGCATGCCTAATGCTTATATTCGAATTTAATCCTTAGTCTTTCATTGGGATAATACCCGAGCAGAACTGCAGCAACGCACGCACTTCCGTGCGGCATCTTCAGCAATTTGGGAATGCAAGTGAGCAAGGCCACCCACATTTTGCTACCATCCTAACCACCCCATCCAAACCCACACAGCTGCATTGGCATTCGGCAATTGGTCGTTCGGCTTTTCCAGCTTTCGGCTTTTCTTTTGCCGCCGCCACCCGATGAAACTTCGTTTTCGAATTCAAACCAGCGGCAGATGTCGTAGCGTTCAGTTCAGTTCCTCCAGCGGTTCTATAGTCAGTTGTGCTTTGGCTGGCGGTCGCGAAAGGCGAAAGTTGCGAGAGCTAACGCGAAATTCCCTTTTGCCGCTAATATAACGTAACGTTTCGGTTCGGTGTTTGGTTCATCCAATAACGTAACGTAACGTAAACACTTTGTTTTGGGGCCGCGGCTCGTCGTTTGGCGCATTTTTCGTGAGTTATTAAAATGCGATAAAAGCCAGTGAATCGGTAATAAAGCGCTTATCTGGGCCCGCAATTACGACCCAGAAAAGGGCGGGCGGATCGCGCGTTTTTCGCCTTTTGTGGTGGCGACAAAGCAAAAAAAAATAAGGAACAGAAAATATCAGAAGCAGCCTTCAGCCTGCCGGCATTGTCCAATTACTCGCGGGCGCTGTGAAGTCAATTGTGAGCTGGCCCGCATCTGTTACAAATTTCTTTTGCAGGCCCAAGAACTCCCCCCAGTCACTGCCCCCTGAAAATGTCACCATTCCACATCAAACCTCACACACACATCCGGCCATCAGCGCCTAAATGTATGCTTTAGTGCGTCCGTCTGTCTCGGTGTCTCTTTTAGTTAATAGTTGTCTACGTGTGCGGCATATTACCAACCCAACATTAATGTGGGCCAGCACACACACCTTTACACCGTTTGGGAGCATGTTTGTTTTTCTTGGCTTTTAGCTTCCGCTTGCGGGCTATCTTGAAAAACATTCAAAGTATCTTTCGGATGTGCCACTTGGCGAGCTTCGGTGTGTGTGTCTGTGTGTGTGCTACTTTTTGGGTGTTTATGGCATTTAAATCAATAATGTCGCCTGACAGCAACTCACTCCCGCTTTTCCGCTTTCCACTCCCCGCTGCGAGTGCAATTTGTGCGGATTTGTTGCCTTCATTTTGCTCAAGTGCACCCGTCGCCGCCCACGTTGCAAGGTATTAGAAAAAGGTGACTCGGAAATATAAGGCAGCCAGTGGAATATGCACTTACCAAACCCTCCTCTCCCCCTCAACCTGGCCTGAATTCGCTTAATGAGCGCAACATGGCCGCAGATACTTTGCACACACTTATTTAACGCTCATACGCCCCGTTGGCCGCCACCCTCTTTATTTTTTGGTTTCGCTCGCATTCAGGGGGCCAAGGGCAGGCGGCTTTTGTTGGCCAGGATTGCTAGCAACTGCAAACTGCAAACTGCAGCTCGGGATTTATGCTGCTTTTTACTTAATCTTATTTAAAGGGGGCATTGAAAAGACGCCCTGGGCTG